TTGTTTAGCTTGTCTGTGTGTGAAAAGTAGCCTAAGTTTTTTTTGCGAATTAGAAAAAGCATAGATTTTATACATTTACATGTCTAATTAATATTAAAAAAGCCACTAATGAGATGAAGACAAGTAATTGTGACTGTTAATTGCAAGCAATAATATCACTTATCATTATTATCACTATTATTTATTATTATTATTATTATAGCAATAATAATCATTATTATAATGGCAATAATGATCATTATTATAGTCTTCATTAATGTTTTTAAGATTTTAATTCTCAATTATAAATTGAATTTGCAAAATTTGAATAATGAGAAAGTTGCATACATTGTCAAAAAATATCCAAAAAAAGAACTAAACTATGAATAAAATAGAAATGACTTTACAAAGATGTAAAGGACAGTTAGTGTAAATTTAGCAAAAAAGTAAGCAAAAATTTGAGCATCTCTTGTGGATAAAAATAGTACAGAAACAAAGTCGAAACCATTGAAGACTTTTAAAGGAAATGAAAACAAAAATTGATAAAAAAGGAAAAAATGAATTGCAGAATGCTGCTACCATCATTGTGTGGTAGAATGAATTAATAATTTGAAATACTAAAAAATATTTAAATTAATTAAAAATTAGAAATACTAAAGAATAAATTCGGAATTCATTTACGAAGCAGTGAAATGCGATAAGAACACGGATTGAGATAGCTATTGAGAGATTAGCGCGTGAAATAATTTCAGGATTATATTTAAAATTTTAAAATTTAAATAATAATTACAACAAATATTAATAATATAGTTAACAAAAACCTATCAAGTTAGATAAATTAATCACAAGTCAAAAAATTGTAGTCAAATAATTGTTGTAAAATAAATTTAACTGTTCTTTGCAAATTTGAATATAAACAGAATCATATGCAAAGCTTTATTTTTCAATACAAGCAATTAATACTTTAATATAAAAATATTAATAAGCCGTAACAGTGTTTTCAGTACACAAATTGTAACTAACTAATCTAATTAGTTAGTTCCAAGCTTTTAAGTTCACAACTTAAAATGTCATCTTAATTGATTGCTTGTTTCGAATCATTCAAAATCATTCAAATTACAATCTCAAAACAAAGAAATTAACTTTTTATAGAAGTTCAATTGCTTGTTGATTTGCCTGTTAATATTTATCAAACGCTTGTCAACTTATTAAATTATTCTCGAGGCTTACTTATTAAAATGCAATTGCCACACACGTCACGTAAAGAGTAAATGTCAATGTAAATGTTAATGAGTGTTTTTATAAGTCTTTGTTCCTTCTTGTTAATTGAGATTAAGCATTACGCGATTATGCTTATTCTTTAATGAATGCGCAAAAATACTGGCAACTTTGCGTGTTTAAATATTCGGCAGTATTTATCACTTTTAATCTGCGCAATTCATCGATATTCATTTTGATCAGTATCATATTCAAATTTTTGCTGTACAAAAAGTTTTTGCTATCCAATTGCTGTATTTGCAATTCTTTTTACTTTCTTACGGTATGCGGTTATTTCCAACAATTAAGCTTTCAGTTTTGTCATTATTTTTTCATTCACTTCAAGTTAGACATTTCACACTTACTCTTTTTGCGAGTTATACTTTGCTTCGAGATGTAACAGTCGTTTTACCTATCATAATACTTGGTAGGTATTGTTATCAAATACTATGAAAATAACGAAAATTATTGCTAGAAATGAAAAAACAAATTATTGATAAGATTTTTTAAATCACTTAGTTGCGTGAACACTTTCAGGAAATATATATATATAATCAGTAAGTCTATCTCTTCCTAGCAACTGAAAATTAAAAAGCAAGGCAAGACCTTCGACCTCACATTGCATGTGAGGGCAGAGGTCTTGCCTTGAACGATACAAAAAACTATTTACATAATTAAGCAACTATAATTGCAATCGTTCACATGCAATGAATACTTCTGATGAGTAATTATGAAAAAGTAATGCAAAGAAAATAAAATTTACATACTTAAATTTCTGCTATGAAGTCAGTTTCTTTGTTAAACTTCTGATGACATTTTTATACTTCATATCATTTTATGCGTTTGAATAAATGTATCGTTCTTACTTACTTCTCGCTGAACTACTGCAGAACTTTTTTCATCAAAATGCTGGCAGGCAGTATTTAAATTTTATTTTGCAGTTATTATTTATAATTTTTTATAGCATATATTTATTGCTGAGATAAAACATGTTTTAGCATTCAAATAAATATGTTTCTACTCTAAAAGTCTGAATTTTTTGCATTTTGGACAAGATGCAATCTCATTTTTATTTTTTTGAAAATGTTTGCTGCTTTTTTTAGCAAAAGTTGCTAAATTGAAAGCAAAATTAAAAAAGTAAAAAGAGCAAATTGAAATGAATCGCAAATAGTTGCAGGGGAATTTCAGGCTAATATTTTTCTACCTTTTTATTAAAAATAAAGAAGCAGCCCATTTTGTTTATAGGACTATATTTGTATTTTATTATTGTTCACTAATATTACTTTGAAATTATTTTGCAATTTTTTTAATTGTAAAAGAAAAATTTTTGCAAGTTTTTAACGACTACAGTTAATTTAGTATTTAATTTAAAACATTGGAAAATTAAGATTTTAAATTAAATTCAAAAACAATTTTAAAGTAATATTAGTGAACAAATATAAAATTTTAAATTAAATTCTAAATTTAATATTTTTTAATATTCAGAATATTCTAGAAAACAGTGCTTAAATTAAATAATAATTCAAATTTAGTATTAAATTAAAATTATTTGACGTGAAAAATTTAATTATTTAGTAAATCAAGTAATAATTTAAGCACTTTTTCAAGAATATTCTACAGAATTATCGTAGCAATCACTAATATTATCACAAATTTGAAGGCAGAAATGCATTTGTTGTCGTATATCACTAATGCTTATAATTATTTGCAAGTGCTAAATATGAAAGTTTGGTGATTGATTGAAGCAGTGAATCTGAAATAAGTGAAATCTGAGCATCTTATTACTAAATAAGTGAAGGCAGTTTAGCATTTGTCTGTAATCTTTTATAAATTATTCGCTACTGAATGACGTGAAAAGTTGCGATAAATGAAGATAAGCTTCTTCAAAAAAATATGAAATTTAAATCTTTACTGAAGTAAATTGTTTGAATTCGATTTCATTTTTCTGCTTTGTTAGCGTCATCTAATTTCGTTTTTTTCTTAAAGTAATTTTCATTTTGAATGACTCCGTTTAGCCTTTGACCTAAAAAAATTTTTGATCGGTGACAAATTAATCCACGCTATTATATTACTTGTTTTCGTTAAATCAGTCTACTAAAATAGATTTTTCCGAGATCACTAATTTTTTGTCTGCAAAATAATAACAATAATAAAAATTCTATCAGAATTGCTTAAGTAATCAGAAATGGAAGGAATCCTCACGTACATTTCTTTTCACAAAACAAGTTACGTTTTCATAAATGAGTTTCTCATGCAAATTTTTTCACGCATATTCTTTCACGTAGATTCACTCTTTTTAAGCTCTATGATAAAAACGTATAATTTTTGTCTAAATTTATATTTGATTGTGTTATCAACAACAACTTAATATATTTTTAATGACTAAAACTTTTTTTAGCTTAATATTTATGAAAGCTTTCTTCAAGTTTCTTCTTAATGCTTTTCTATCAGAATTTTCAGAAAAATCTGCTAAAAAAGTATTTTCAGTTTTTAAATTGTAAAGCATTATCTTATATTTCGAAGACAAAAGCTTATAGTTATAAAATGAGTTAATCACATCTAACTCAAAAATCAGTGTCTAACTCAAATGAGTCAATCAGTATCTAACCTACTTTTCAATATTAACATGCAGTTGTCATATTCACAAGTTATTTTTTAATTTACTTTCATTTAATCTAAAATGACTTTTTATTTTTCAACTGACTCTTTAACTGATTTTTAGATCAATTTCTGATTCATTTATAGCTGATCTGACCTAAAAAGCGCAATAAAAATTACCGGAATAAGTAGTTTGTGCGCAACAATGGGTTGCACAATGAGTCAAGAAGAGCGGGCAGCTCTGGAACGCTCTCGAATGATTGAGAAAAACTTGAAGGAAGATGGCTTGCAAGCTGCCAAAGATATTAAATTATTACTTTTAGGTAAGTGATCTGAGATCAATCTAATTATTATTTTTTAAGTTATTACTTGCCAAACAAATAAAGTAAACTTTAAAAATGAAAGAGAAATGTATTGAAAATTTTGGATTACATTTACATCTATCACTTCAGAAACAATAGTTTTGAAGTTGAAAGTGTTAGTGATTATCAGTGATAAGTTATAGATCAGATTACTGTTATAGTTGATCAGTGACTATCAGTTATAGTTGATTATCAGTGTTTGTTGATGGCCTAAAAATATTATTCCAATTACTTTAAAAAGAC